GAGTTGCGTGTGTGGGTGTTTCGACCTGACTTACGATGTGTGGAACACCGGTGTTTCGAGAGTGAAAGCACTCTCCAGCTCGACTCCAAAGTGTGGAACGAAGAGTGTGGAACTTCCAACGTGCCAAAAACGAAGGTGGGCCCTTGTGTGCTGCTGGCCACAACAACCACAATTTCCAAACACCCAGGCGCCTGATGACCTAGAGTCCTAGAGATTGGGCTATCTGTATCTGTATCTCTCTTATGGGGAATACATAAACCCAAAGGAGAAGCAACATCAATATGTCTGCGACAACCACTACGGCAAATTATTACGTAATAACAAAAACTAAGAAAGGACAAGTTCACATTTGTCTACAGAACATAATATTTGTTGGACAAATGATGACAAGTGGAAGGTGTCCGATCCAAAAATGCAAAAAGTATTAGACTCCAACTCCATCCAAAATGGCAGTACTCCTTGCACACGTTGCAAGTAACATCAAATTAGCAATTCTATAACGCGGGGCATCACAGTGTAGAACCCCGTGACCCTCGCACTGCAGAATGACATGCAGTTGTCTTGGCCATTGGCTGATAAGCAGGCCTTAACGAAAGAGATACAGCTGCTACTGGAACAACATGTCATGTGGCTTTGTGACACATCATTCATCACAAACGAAGTCTAAGCTGCAATGGCAGGGACGGCATGTGCCCTTCAAGCCTTTATGAGCGACCAAATAGAAGTTCGGGAAACCCGATGTGGCGGCAATGCCCTCATCTGCCACAAAACCAGGCGGCACGTTCTCGTACTGACCTTCCACACTCTTGCCTTTACAATTCTTGCCCTTGCCCTTGCCTTTGCAACTGCTGCTGTCAGTTTTCTTCCAGAAGCGGGTTTGATGCCGCTTCTGACATACGAGAACCAAAAGTTTGGGTCGAATGTCAAACTTCTGGAAGGCCTTGTCCATCGCAGCCATCTCGTAATTTAAGACCTGGCTGAACTGACCGTTTGAAACCCCATCCCTGTAGTACAATATGTTTTCAGGGAAACTTCCATTGTCCCGCTTCCAAAGCTGCAACAAGTCCTGCAAAGGTGGCACTGTCTCAGAAAATCACAAGGGATAACTGTAAGCAATGCTCAAAAATAACATTTAGACCAACTCCCTCTGACAGAGTTTATCTGTGTATTATGTTAGTCTGTGTATGATGGTAGCACTACATGAACTGCAGCGAATACCCCTATTCAACACACATGATAACAAACCATAAAGTTTCCCTTTACTTGCTATTCTACTGGAACCGCTATAACTGGACATGAATTTGCGCGTCCTGGCAGGACACCCTAGTTGCAAATCATTACAATGGTCAATATGCCATCAATCAGTAAGTGACACAACAAATCAATGATGCGAGTGGAAGGGCAAAAACGAACTTTGGATGCACTTCCTGGATGCGGGAGTGACGAGGAGGTTGCAACAAAACAACAAAGTAAAATTTAAAAACACAAATTAGTTTACTACGAGTGATCCCCACCCTGACACTTCAATCTTACAAAATTTTTGGCATGCAAGTATTGAAACATTATATTGTCATTATTTCTGGCATATTGTTCTTTCTTCCTCGCACTTTTTCTTGCATATCTGCCGACATTTTTTCTAGCATATCTTCAGACATTCTTTCATCTGACATCCTGTCTAACATGTTTTCCAGCATATCTTTTGACATTATTTCTGGCATCTCTTCTGACTTCTGACATTCTTTCTGGCACATCTTCCGGCATTATTTCTGCCATTCTTTCTCACATATCTTCTGACATTATTTCTGGCAAGTCTTCTGACATTATTTGTGGCATATCTTCTCTAACATTCTTTCTGGCATATCTTTTGCCATTGTTTCTGATATGATTTCTGGCATCTCTTCTGACATTTTTCTGACATATCTTCTTCATATGTTCTGACATTCTGGCATATCTTCTGACTCGCGGTTGAAGTCCGGCGGGGAACACTGCCGTCCAGAGCTGGCTGTTGAGGTCCGGTGGGGAACACTGCCGTCCGATACACTTGCGGTTGAGGTCCGGCAGGGAACGCTGCCATCTGACATTCGCGGTTGAGGAGGACGAGGGGGGGGCAAAGGAGAGGAGAACAGCGAGGCAGCTGACATAAAATCTGACAACCCTCACCTGACAGGTGGGGAATCATGCACGCACGCTGACGTACGCTGATCTGTACCGAACAAACTATATATGATTGGTTGTCAACATGTCTTTCCCCGAAAGCGGCTGTAAAAGTCATTCTGATAGGGGCGCGCTTCTTGCTCAATACATTTCAGAGAGGGTGCCTGGGAGGTGCAGAACGTTGCAAACGTAGCTAGTGCGAAGGCACTTTAAAAGGAATCTCTGGCTTGCCTTTTTAAAAGGCGGCACTGGCCGGGTTCTAAGCGGTTAGAGCTGGCCATGCTGTGAGGAATTTCAAAAGAAAAGGGACATGGACACAAGCTCTCAAAGTAGCAATGGCAAAGATCTGCTTCCAGGACAAATGGACGTATCTGATCACCTTTCAAAACTGTGCTAGCGCAAACCTAGCGCACATGCTAGCGGCGCGGGTCTAGCGCACAAAACTCAGCTTTTTCCTGTTTGAGATAAGAGCAACACACATCACAGAGTTCGCTTCTGTGTTCTCCCCAGTACAGTGTACTTTGTATACTCCATGATGCAGGACAAAAAGGCTTTCAAACCAAATGCTGCCAAAACCAAATGAATTATGTTGATTCTAAACACATGTACAAGGAAAAATCAACCGCGAAACTAGCGCCAATCTAGCGCTGCCATGGTGATTCGCAAGATTCTGCTGGAGGCCCGCTACTAAACGAATACTTAAAGTCAACATCCCAACCAACTCAGTAACCACGTAATCAACAAAATTCAACTATAGGTTTTTGACATCAATATGAATTTACGGTTCGCATCGCTGTTACGTCCTGAACCATGTCTTCGAACTCCACGATCCTCTCCTCGCTACGTCGGCTCCGTCGTTTCTCCCCATTGAGGGCAAAAGGGCTTTGCGCACGCGGGATGGCAAAATAGCTGGCGAAGCTGCCATCACAGCTGCCCACCACCCCTGCCACTGATAGGCCTCCGCAACCATGGGTGACATCAGCTCCAATCACCATCGTCTTGGAGCCTTTGTCTCGGTTCAAAAGAACAAGAGACATTGCAATCAGTACAAGTACGAGCCCAAAGTATCAGCCCATGCCACTACTCTCTTGGAACAAAACAACAAATACTACCAGCAACTGCAAGTTGCTCAAGATGCGGTGTGGCTGGGCGAGCTCTACACTGTGAGCGGCACCTGCGTCTTTCGTGGAAGGAAGCTTGTTGACCACCTTGAGCAGCACGTTGTCAAGCTTGGAGGACAAGGCTTGGAACTGTGTTTGGTCTCGTTTCCCTTGGCACAACATACACTGAGTGGCAAAGCCAGGGACTGTATCAGCCAAGGTCTTCAGACACGGGTAGAAGGTGTTGCCTTTGCCAGGCAGAAGAACCAAAAGCAACTTAGGACGTTTGTGATCTTGAAGCAACTTGCTGATCATATCCTTCACTTGATCCTCCTCCTCCACAAGATGTCCCCAAAGTTTCGGGTATGGCTTTGGGGCGAAGTTGATGCCGTGATGCTGTCCCTTGCGCTGCCACTCCTGGTCTGAGGCAAGTCAAAACTACTGGTAAGGCTCCTTTCGACCTAGTGAAGTAGTGTCGTGTTGTCATTTTTTCAGGGCTCCAACCACAAACAAGAAGCATCGGAAACTTTCGTCCCCCCAACCTCAAGGAACCAGTCCAGATCGCTCTGCTGCCCCTGGCTGGCAAAGCACCAAACACCCCAGCTCACCTGAAACTTGGGCGGAGCGATGGCCTCGGACAGTGACATGCCCGAGACCGGTCTCTCAGGCCGAGACCGTCGATTCAGACCGTCGAGTGTCAAACACATTCAAAAACACCGAGACCTTCGAGACTATGGGGTCTTCTTGAACTATTTGTCACAACTGTTATCGTCACCAGGCGCCTGCACCTCCCTGGCATAGCTATTGGGCTCCAGTAGCGAAGAGTTCTTCGCCTGCAAACCTGGTGCAGGCAGCACGCGTCCGATCACCATCATCGGCTCAAGTGTGACCTGGTCGTTGCGACATGGTTGAGAAGAAGGCATGTCGCAAGCAGAACAACATGTCTAAGTTTGCAACCAACACAATCAACATGCCAGAAAGGGCCTTCTATGATTGGCATTGCAGGATTGAAATTTGTATGCTCCAGTGCATTAGTCCCTAAGTATTGCAAAGTCCTAAAGTCACCTCTCATCGTGTAGAGTAGCATCGTTATCATATTCTTATTTCTGTTGCTACAGCAGCTATTGGAACCAGCAGCTCTGCTCAATCTTTCATCAGCTGGCCTTTGGGAATACTGTTGTTTGCAAACAATGATCTACTGTACATAGGGAGAATCCTTTTTTGGACCACGCTCACGTAACCGCCTCCAAACACCCCCGGTGACCCCGGGATCCCGGCCACGCTCGGCCGTCTGCCTCGAGGCCCAGATTGTGCAACGACGTTTGAGGACCAAAGCGCTGGTTTTGGCATAGACCTCAGCTAGTGAGGTCTTTGAGACTTTAAGCACAAACTGGACTACGCCTAATTTGTGTAGAGTATCATATTATGGTATCCAAATTACATTGCTCATGTACTGAGTACCTGATGCATATGCTATATTTATTGAGGTTGTGCTAGTAACCACTAGAGTTCTATGATGGTGTAATTGACGTCCGTGCTATATATAATTTCAATGGTTGTTCCCTTGAAAGTGTCCAACACAAGAACACACACAAAAAGCACATACAAACTAAAATCTGAAAGACCAGCAGAAACGAACATGCACAAAGGAGACAAACAACAAAGAATGCACCATAGAACAAATGCTTGATGGACATCATCCCTTAGAAATTTGCCTGCAAAGCACTCTGGATTTCCTGCAGCCAATCATGGGGGGCTCAAAGTCATCCTGGCGAGTGCCGCTTGGTACTCTGGCCTCTGCTTGCCAGCCTCGATGTTGTGTTGTCCACCAAGGATCGTCACCAACTCCATGGGGACACAGGACTGGCCCCACTGAAGACATGGCAAGTGTGGATACTTCAGCCTCGGATGGAGATAGAACTAGAACATGATAGAATTGGAACAAACCTTACAGCAAAGGTTCACTGTAATTACACCATACACTACTTGGTCTAATGCAGTTATTTGAGACAGTTGAAAAAAAAAATAAAAAAACATCTGATGCAAACACAGGGAACTCCGTGTTGTACTTCTTTAAGAAGTACTCTTGCACAGAAACATTGCCATATTCCGCATGGGAAAACCAGAGATGACGAGCAGGCTTCTGAGTTATACCACTCACAATCTTCTTCTTACCCTGATACTGCACGCGCAATCCACGCATACCCAGTGGACCATTGAGTGTGTCGATGATTCCTTGCACATCTCGCTCACCGTGTCCCTGTCCCAAATACTCAATCCACTCCTTGTTGGTCCATTTCCCCCTCAGGAAATGTGCCAAAAGCTCAATCGCAGGCATCTCAGGAAGGCCCACACTTGAAACAAGGTTCAAGAGCAGCGTTGGAGTTCTTCCCCTTCTGCTCTGCACAAGCTGCACCATCGCCATGTAGCCTCACAGCTGCGGAGCATTGCCAATGCTTGGTCAAGCCATTTCTACACTTCCAGAATGATGTGAATCTAAGGATGGGACAAGTGGATGATGTGTCAATGATGTGTTGACTGATATGTGTTTTCTACACTGTTATCTTAAATATGGAATTGTCAACAATTGTTCAATCAACATACTGTAGATGTTCCAGACCCAGTAACCCATCCATACCTCACGGCCATACAGCAAAGAACGTTCCGTCATGCAAGCCAGTTGGAGCTTCGGACAAACCACCTTCTGGCCAACCACCACCCTCTCCTCGTCGCCATGAGAGTCCTGTTTCATTGCCACATGTATAAACCGCAGCTCCTCAGTATCGAGTCTCTGCAAGTCAAGCTCCTGGTGCTTTCCATTTGGGTCCTGCGGCTACAAGTCATTTGTTCACATCTTGAGAAATAGTGGATGATTTCAAACCCTCCAGCAGAGAATCTTCACGTCAAATGCTGAATCCTTTCACCACGTGTAATTAAGCAGTGTGTATGCAAGCCGGAACAATCAGCAGCACTCACAAAGCACCATGAGAGAACATGTTTAAACTGAGCAAATCTTAGAAAAACGACATGGACCTAACCCACACAAAATGTGTTGACCAAACACCTGTAATCATTCTGACTGAAATCTGCGAGACCTCTTCGATTGTCAAGAGGCTTTTTCAAGCCCATATGTAGGACCTCCTGAACCTACCCGTCTACTACTTTGCAATCCTACTTTGAACAACTTGGACATTCTGGTTATATAAGAAATATTCATTATTGAAATTTGAAAACCATTCGTCCTATCTATCTGGGATCTGGATACTATCAAAACATATTAAAACCAACACATTTTCTGGTACCTCTGTCCTTGACCTCGGTGATCTTCACCTGAATTTGGGCATTGCGCAGCTGCACTGTGGATGTGCTGGACGAACGGATGACCTGCACCGTCGCCGTTCTGGTGTACAGGCGGAGGTCGCCATCGTAGCACCAATCTGCAGCGTTGAGGTCCTGGCGGTCCTGGCGGTCCATTGGCGTTGATGCCATTGAATCAACTGCACATTGGAAGCCCGGGCCATCGTGATGAACCCCCATCTTCAGATGTTTCTTTCTTCCCTGGGCCTGCCTTTGATGGTGTAATGCGGTCCAAAACGCTCAATCAGTCGTTCGCTCAATCCATCTCCCCGTCTCTGGACCTGTCTATACTATACGTAAACTATTGCATAGCATATGAAAGTTATAATAATTCCGAAAGCATATGAAAGGTTTTCGTCTGAAACATCCTTTGTCAAGTTGCACCTATTTATATATGAGTCAAAAACAACACTGTTACAACCTGGATATAATTTGAACTCGTAACTCGTAACAGCTTGTGGGTCCTGAAGAAGGTTCTTCATCGCCGCCTGTCGCATCCCAACAGTCATAGGCGGAGTCCTTTCTTTCTCACCCCTGCGGGGAGCACCCACCAAGTCCATCTGCACCTGCCATGCACACCATGGTTCCGGCGCCTTCAGGGAATTCTTCCTTCAAAAGCTATTCTGTATCATCAGGACACTGTTAACAGCACACTCACATGTTTTAGCATGTTTTAACTACCGCCCATGGTTGCTACTTCATGCCATTTCATAGTTTGCTTCCAACATTTAACGTCTAACAAGGCACACACTCCGATGATATCATGTGATCTTTTTCGCTTGCATTCCTACCTCAATCCTCAATACAAAGTGGTTGCAAACGACCTGCACCGTGCTTCCTTCCTTGCCGAACATATCAGCTGCCGGCTCCACGGGCATGGCAGGTGCAGATGGGCTTAGCGGAATGCGTAGCTTCTTTGATCTAACTTGTCTGCGGCCCATCAAGTGACCACGTTGACATTGCAACATGAAAGGGAAGCAAAAGCAAGGTATGATCCAGTCACCTGCCAGGGGTGCTCTACCAGTTGTACTAAACATTATTCTGACAAGGTAGATGACTCGACTTAACATGCTGTTGTCTGTCCAGCTGTGGCGCATGTGCTCAGCACAGTACATGGGCTCCTTGCCATCATCTTCAGCATCCTCCTCTACATCATCTGCTTCTACCTGGATAAAGTACACAGCCATCGAATGCTTGGAAGTAATAAAAACTGGAAGCAAGGATGCACCAAGTCTCAAACCAATGCAAAGATTCCAGTCTGTGTAAAGCCCGCTGACAAGAACATCGTAACTTTAGTAATCGTATGTAAATGTATAGTACATAAAAGCTTGTAGTATATCAAGTTATATGCACACACACACATTCCTTCTGTTGAAGTCAGAAGTCATCGATACAGTCATATCTTGCCGTATCATATCATACCTAGAATATCCTAGAATACTACTCATAGAATGTTTATTAGACTTCAGGTTGAGGGGACGGGTGTTATATTTTCTGAAGCCACTTTCAGCCTGCAAAACTGTCAAAACGCAAGACTCACACTGTGCAAGCAACTTCCTCTTGCTTTTCTGTTTGCTGACAGCACACCTCTGACTCTTCACCTTGCCAGGAGGCACGAATGGCGGGATGTAATAAGGAGTCACATCTTCCAGCTACGCGAGACGACTGGTCAGAGTTTCAAAGCTGGAATATCCTCCGTGTGGTGAACCAAACGATTCATCCCAAGTCTTCTGAGAGTCCATTGTTATTTAAGGCAATAGGTCAAATGTCCCGCAAGCGAAGCTGCAGCTGCAACAATGGCTTAGCTATCATTGCCTCAGCTTTCTCACATCTCTGACTCGTGAAACCGTTTACAGTTACAGTTTACAGCAATTGCACGTGGAGGAGTCGCGAGACCGGTGGCCGCGTGGCCACCCTGAAACAACACAGTGAGACCAGCTGGCCCATTGTAGCGGACGCATCAACATATATATCAATCCGTGGCAATTTCAAGGAACGACATACAAAGCTTCAGACCTGCTACTCGACTACCACAAATCAACGATCCCCGTCCACGGAGCCAACGACGAACGCCGATCGCCTTCGTCCGCCTCTTCACACCTGGGCAAGGCGAACGTAGCGGTTCTTCGTGGCCAGGCGAGAAGGTGTGAGGAACAACGCAGAAAACCCCGAAGGTGACCGGTGGAGCTCAAAGACGAAAACACAAAGTGGTGAATCCGACGAAAACACGAAGTTGTGAAGGCTGAACCGCAGGGATAAGAAAGGAACATATATGTGGAAGGGTGAAGAGGGCGTACATTTTTTCTGCGAACCTGCAACCAAGGGGTATTCAAACGTCTTCCAAGTAGAAAAGATGTGGCGGTCCAGAACAAGAACATCGTGACATTTAAGAGTTGAGAATCCGTTCAAGAACATTCAGTGAGTTTGTCAGGTCTCGGATCATCCAATGACACCTGTCCCGTGTACGAAAACACAAAGTCAAGAATCAAGAATGGTAATTATCCCAACCGCCATCAGAATCATATACTGTATGTCTATGACAAGATTCACAAAGTAAATCATAATCCTGCAGAATCCTGCACATGATATGTGAATGTTTGTTGGATATTCCCTGACCCACCAAACGACGTATCATGTGCAGATTAGTAAACTGTCCCTACAAAGCATGGGTCTGGAGTATCAATGGACCAAAGAGCTTCCGAATCAGACCTTGAGCTTCCAGCTCTGGGAGTTCCGAACAGGTCGGTCAAACCAGAGCCACTTGGTGGGTGATATCCAAAGTCAAGCCAAGGCCTACAAGTAAGTATATATATATATATATACGAGTATTTATTAATAACCTCCCTTCCAAGTCCTCAAGTCAGCCCCTTTGGCGCCTTGAGAAAAGCTATGCGAGCAATTACTGCAGCAGAAAAATAACTTTTCACTCGTACTGTCAATGGAACATACATGAAAATACCAAAGAAGTCGACGCCTTCATTCAATGAAGTCGACTTCTCGCCCAGGCACGCGCGGTAGCGATCCCAGGGTGACGGGAAGTGGCCACAGGCGTGAAAGAGTTCACCTGCCATGCAACGTGTTGCGACGTGTAGCGACGCCCTCCGTTTCTTTTTTAAATGAGTGGTGAGGAGCACTAAGGATCTACTAAGGATATCTAAGGATGCGTAAGGAAGGAGCATCCAGCTGTTGATTGTTTTTGTTGGGAGATGTGGGGAAAGTTTGGGTCTAAGATGGTCTAAGAGCTTCTTCAAGGCAAACTGTGAATCTATCTGAATTGTAACAAACAAATTGAGCACAGTCACAGCTCAGCTCAGGTGACCGTCAACATCCCATGCGAGGCCTGTGGGCGGCCGATAGAGCGCTTGACGCCACTGGGCAATGTTCACCATGATGTCCTGGACTTCATCGGTGAACTTCGGCATGGGGTTTGTTCTATTGGAATTCCTATAGGGACTGCTGAAAGCGTGAAGCCAACGAAATCTTCCAGGCATCTGGCCCCACGGTGAATGCACCACAGGATGATGCAATTGACAAAAATAAACATGTGAGGAAACAGGACCTGGCTGGCGCTGTCTTGGCTCCACTCGAACATTCAAACATCTTCAATCATGTTCAACACAAGATTCATACAGCCGCCTGTGCAAGCGGCCACCTCAACCTCCACCCCAAGCATCTTCAGCGACTTTTCTGCTCCGCCCAAGCACAAACAGCTAAGGCTGCATTGAAGGCCGTCGCACTGAGGTCACCTCCCGGTGAAGCGAAGCGCGCGGAGGATCGGTCGGTTGTGTTCTCCGGATTTTTTCTTGAAGTGGAAGTCCATGACCGGCTAAGGGGCATGAAAGGCATTCACATTCTGGCATCTTCTTAGAAGACTGTATATATCTACGCATCTGTGTATTAGCTATCACGAGTTATCATTAGTGGGTTCTCCCATGTTCTCCCTTTGATATGGCTCTCCTGAATCCTCATCGATGCCCCATGCAGCAATTCCAAACACCCATGCAGCCATCAACGCCAAATCCATCCAGAACTGTCGAACTGTCGAAAACTGTGTACTATAGTCTCTTCAAACAGTCCACTGCCTTCCATGCTCTGAAGCAGCTCCAGTGCCAGCTGCACCTCATTGGCCTTGCCCAGGGCCTCGATCACTGCCTCAAATGCTCAAGTTGTGATTTCTACAGGTACGTGTATAATAGTTACTGTATAATACATAACTAAACACATAAATACATGTCTAAATAATAATAAATATATATATATATTCTTTTTTGCGTGCGATTGCTGACAGTGTTGCCGCTGTTGGGTCGCAGCAGCTCCTCGTCCTCCTAATGCTTGGCATTTCCTTCTCCTTGCTTGTTGTGTCATATTATATACATCATATACTCTATATAATCAAATCCGACATTGTATTGACTTGCAACGAGGCGGCTGAATGTACCCTTCACATCCAGCACAATGCCTGATTCATTTCATAGACCTGACATAATAATGGGAGACCTGATTCCGAGAACGCGAAATCCCTGCAGCATCCATTCTCTGCAAGTCTGGCTTACCAAAATTCTTAGAGATGCACCGCGGTGCATAGCCTGGTAGACCAAAATGGGACATAATTTGAACACCAAACTCCAGCCAGGCATCAGCAGCAGTGAAGTCGTTTCCACCTCAACTCGACATCATTTGCGGTCCCCAAGTGCGCCATAAGTCCGTGCCAAAAGAACAAACCGTTGCCATAGCGGCATCAATACAATGGCGGCAAAAGTGACTGGACTAGTCTCCCAACTAGGTTGGAGGTCATCACTAGTAGGTTTCTTTTCTTCACATCTATGACCGTCTTGAGACTCCCGGCGGACGCCACGAGAGTCGTGCCATAGACTCAGCGCTTCGGCCCAGGCATGTCCCTCTCCACACCTGGGGAGCACTGAGATGGTGCGAAGAGAGGACACAACTCCATAACATTGTCCTATAATGTCCTATATCTTTTTGGATGTTGCTTCCGATGGTTGAACATGCATTTCTTGGCTTGTTCATCCCAAGCAAACTAAATCAAGTTCTCAGATTGCTCCAGGATAGCTTTACTTCCAGTATCTTTGGTACAATCAACACTTTTGGAAAAGCATCCTACTGATGAAGTGAGGCTGCAGCATCTCCACATATCTCCACTATATCTTTCCTGTCCCTCACTTGCCGGGAGCACGCGATGATGGCAGCATTCAAACCAACCGCTGAGGGCTTCAAGCTGCCGCGAGGCCTCGCAGCACAGTGGCGCTGTCCAGTTCGTAAGGAATCAACGACGGACAATCCAGTCCGACTGGGGAGCAGTTAGGTATATAATAAGTGGTAATTACTCCTGCTGAATCCGACTGATCATACACTGCCAATGAGTTTAATTACCTGCCAATGAGGACATTTACAAGAGAACCTCTGTTGGACGCAGCCTCAATCTGCCGCAAACGAAATCTCAATGCCTCGCACAGGCCAAGGCTGACACCCACTGGGCGGCTTCCTTCGCTTCGCACCGTCGAATCCCTCGAATCTTCGGTGCAAACGAAGCAGCGAGAGACGTGCAGCTTACGTCGAAGTGTATGATCTTCTTGACGAGCTGGAAGTCCTTTTGATAGTTGGTGAACCCAGTTTATGCTGTTGGATAACCCAGTTTATGCTGTTGGATGGCAAAGTGATCACAGCTTGCTGCTCGGTATGGTGGGTGTGTGTTGATTTGATTGTTGTACATGAAACTAAAATGCCACTAGTTCTTCTTATACGTCCCCTTCAACTTCAAGAGGCTTTTGGCCCTCCCCCCCTTCCGCGCCGCTTGGCCCAACCTGGCAGGCATAAATAAGGGCTCCGAGGAAATGCCCATCCATGGGCTCTGCCAAGATGAACCTCTGTTTGTGCGGGGTCTGGAAACGGTTGGCTTCGGTTTTGCTTATGTGGCATGGATGGAATAACTATGAAAAGCTTCACTATGCCCCAACTTCACTATGACTATTGTAGCAAAACCTTGAGTAAATCCAGGCCTGTGGGCGTGTGGGGGTCGGGTGTTGTGTGGTCGGCATGTTCGCTCAGAAGGAATAGACCTAAAAATGGGATCCAACATGATCCAACTGATCAAAATTGACCAACTGGACTGGAATGCCCATTCCCATCTGTTTAGATACTCATACGACTCATACTTGTGACTGTGACTCATCTCACAGGGTAGTCAAACAAGCAAAAACGCCGTCTTGCGTTCGAGCCACGGTAGCTGGAGTGCTGCTTGCCAGTGCCGCGCACTGCCACAAGCGCTGCAGGTGCTGCTCAGGGGCTGCAACGTCTTGGTCATGTAGCGGCCTATAACCGGACAGTCGTGGTGGTACAGTGCTACAGGTGGTACATTGGGTGGTTCCAAGGTCTCCAGGTTGATGACATCCTTGGAATATGACCAATGTGTTTGCTTTTCGCAATCAACCGGACAAAACTGGACAAACAAACTTGTAAATGTGTGCGTGAAAACGTTACTAGCTTGGTGAGCTGCTGCAGAAGCAGGCTCTTCAAAGAGGCTCAGGAAAACTGGTTGAACTATATACTGTACCATGTCCTGAAGCCCCTCTGCCGCAAAGGACTGGCACATTTAAGTCCAAAACATCCCAAACCCAGATCTGGTGGCCACGCGGCCCACCAGAAAAGGCACGGCCGCAAGACTTCAAACATGCTCCTTCTATCCCACAGCCTGAAATCACACGAGTCACATATACAGTACGTGAAAGGTCTTCAAGTTTCTAATGACAGCAAACACAACCCCCCCGCATGCCTGACCAGTACAAGCTCTGTCGCCACTGGCCAGCCTCCTGCGGTGACCAATAAACACTTCTATTCTACGTTGTCATGGTCTTGGGATGTCTTGGCGCTTGATGCGTCACAGGACAAAAGAGCACTGAATGGGAGACTTGCACAGCCCATGGCTTGCAGCACATGCATGCACCAATCCAAAATGGCCTGAAAGACATATTGAAGCCTACATACAACATCACTCGCGTTGCGGTAGGCCTTGAGACAGCGCATGGCTGTGGCATAGCTGGAGAGATCGGGTTCCAGTTTGGAGGCCTGACAATCCCATCGGGCCATCGAACTACAACAAATATGACAATCATGTGGCCTTGTTACTAGTAGCTTCTTGTTACTAGTAGCGATGGCCTCCAACCTACTTGCGTTGGCCTCCACCTACTAGCTTCTATAAACCACACCTGAAACGAAAAGGCCATCGATCGACTCAGTAAGTCTTCCGGTATACCTCCAAGGATTGAAGCACCATCGGCCAGCAGTGCCCCTGCCATCGCATGGAGGTGACGACTCTTTGGGAATTGCACACTCCAACAAGAGGGATGATTCCAGGGATAACCACTGGAGGTTCACTTGGAGAGTTGGAAGTTTGGAACAAGGATCTGAAGGAAAAAAATGTGTGTTTTCCAATAATATGTTGTCTATGTGCAATATGTTTGGAGTCCTGATTTTTGAAGGTAGCTTATATGCGGGCGATGTATTGTGAAAAAACAAAATGTCAACGTAGGATCAATTAATCAAGCCCAGCTGGAGCCTCCAATACTAAACTAATTAAAACCCTGCAACCTCCCCCTGATAATTTTCGTTCCTTGCCAGAACCCCCCTATTAATCAAGCCCAGCTGCACCAGAAAAAAACACAATATAACTGTATTAATATTTACTGTTTTTATTTACTTTCTTCTTTGCTCGTATTCAATATCCACCAATCATCAATCATTATCATCCCTTCGACCTATTAATAAACACCGGGCCCCCCCACCTAATAAGAGAAACTCGGCCGCATTCGTTCTAATAGGGGGTCCCTGAAATCGGGGGGTCCAAAATAGGGTCACCTGGGAAGAGCTTCAAAACCAAAAAGTCATCCAGACAAATTTTGTATATATATAAAATCGTTTATTAAACTCGTATCAAAAATTCAATAAACTTCCAGATCGAAGGGTCTTCCTTTTCCCCTACAAAAACCTTTATTAGAATACTAATTCATTAGACTAACAACCAAAGCTTTTGAAAGGTGATGTCGCTGTGCCATGCGGTTTTGCACGACCTCGGAGGCAAGTGCGTTTGCGTGAGTCCGTGCCATTGGAGGAAGGACAACCGGATGGTGTAAACGCAGCGTGTCACGAGGGAGTTTTGGGGGAACCTATTTTAAAAACTACCCCCAAAATCGACCATGTTGGTAGTTTAGTAGCTTGTTTCTGAAAGGGCGGCAATTAAATATCAAATATAAGCCGAATTTAGGGCTTCGGACGTTGTGGCTTTTTAATTGTTTATCAATAGGTACTCGGGACTATATCATTATCATTGTCCTTTTGTCTATCATCCTGCTTTTTCTTCTCATCCTTCCCTGTTAAAATCCAAACAACTTGCTAGCAAACTTATTTCATTTTCCCTTATTAAAAACTCTATCAAAATCTTAAGGTTTTCAAGCTCACAAAGGGTACCCCTCCACAGACCCTACCGCCCCTATTAATCAAGCCCACCCTCTGGCCTCCATCGTGTTTTCCATCTCTTTCATCCCGCAATCCTCTTTCTTTTCCTAATCATCCCAATCAAAGAAAGAATCTTGTCTTCCAATCTCTTTCCTCTTTCCTAATCATCCCAATCATCCCAATCCCAATCTTTCCCAATCTTGTCCTCATCTCATCATCCATCATCAGGTCATCATGTTTATTAAGGGAATGTGGTCTCCAATCCCTCCAATCCCAAACCTTGTTCACCTTGTTGACCTTGAAAGGGGGGGAGGTTGATTAATCCTACGTCGACATTAAAGCCACAATGTTCAGAATGGTTCTATGCTGGCCACGCATCGTTACAAAGCCATAGAACGCCGGAAACAAACATGGAAAGCCTATCTAGAATGTCATTGTGTCATATTGTGGCATTGAGTGGAAACTGAGGGATTTTGCTCCGCCAATCCGTGTCCATCTACAAGTCTGTGTACAATTGGTCACTTGGTTGATCTTGGTTGTCTTGTTAGTTGCAGCCCACACCAGTTGGCAAAACATAGAAGTCTGTATAATATATTGAAACTCCTCATGAGAACAACTAACATCAACTAACCATTTAATGGTGCTTCCCTCTGGGGTCATCTAACCATCAAAATCTCGGGCTTTCTGATGAATAAGCATTTAATTGTTGTTCAAAAGAAGCATAGTCTTGCCAAACATGTTCACGTCTTACCCATCTTACCCGACCAAAAGCACACATCAAAGCTGCAAATTAGTACCAAACGTTTCAAACGATTTCGAGTAACAAGGACGCTACGAGGGGCTCCTGGCATCGCTACGAACGGAGCAAGGACGCTACTAGGGGCTCCTGGCCTTACTACTAGGAGCAAGGACGCTATGACTTCGAGTCCAACTGAAAAGCGCCAGGTGCCCTGCCTCAGCCCAGGTGCCCAACTGGGCGTTCCACAAGGCCAGGTCGGCGTGCGGGAGTTGCTCGCGAGGCCTGGAGCAAAGCGATGAGATGTCAGTCGGCTCGGTGATACTAGTAGCATTCTTACTACTAGTAGCGATGGCCTCCACCTAGTAGCTTCTTGCTACTAGTAGCGTTCTTCTTTTGAACAAAGCACATGGTCTAGTCACTCAGATTTGGTACCAGAAAGAACGTGTCGAAAGACAATGAGTAAGGGCCTCAGGCTGTAGACGCACTGCCAAGGCAAATGGACACCTACTGCCTGCTTGCCTGCTTGCACTCGCTTTTGGGACACGAACTATAGTATCCGGAGGCGCATGTTGTACAATTTTTGTCAAAGATTTGTTTCGGGGCTATGACGGCATGCTGCGGCATGTCTCCCCCATTAGGAGCACAACAAAACAATAGATAATATATACATTCATCAGTGTGTAAATGTGGATCAGCAGTGTGATATTGTGGAAGGGGAATAAGCCTCCTCACTCCAGAGTCCCCTGAAACAAGCCGCACGCTCCTCAGTGATTGCTGCCAGGGGCCACCACCTGAAAGAACAGCTTCAACGTCTTACACGGAGTCATGTGACTTCGGACGCTTTTGGTACAAATGACGTTGGTGCGTGTGGTTTGTGGTTCTTCCGGACTGGAGCACCTCGCTCGGCCCTCTGCCCTTCTACTACTCAATTAAGTAAGGGAGAAGTTTGCTCCTAGCTACTAGGACGCTCCTAGCGGGGACGCAGGATAGCTCACCCTCGCACTAATGATTTGGGACCTAGATGTTTAGGGAAACTTACCTTTTTTGAGTTACACAAAAACTCCTTTCTTGACACCAAACTGTGCCAGGTACTATCAGGTACTGCGTCCGAGGGCGCAATTTTGGAGGGCGCATTTTTGCTTAGACATTAGAGCAAGCCAGTTCTGCAATCATGTCTGCAGTCGTCAGCAGCCATAATCCCACTGAATCGTGCAGGCGAGGATTAAAGAACATAAATTCAGAACAATCAATCGACACAAAGGCTGACGAGAGATCTCCCAACAACAAAAGGCTCAAATGCCCGGGCCTTGAGCGCCGATGGCTGCGCAGTGGGTCACACAATTTCCTTCAAGGCTCCTGGTCACGAAACTGTCCAACTGTCTGCAACGGCTTTTTGCGGTTATGGCTTGTTGGCATAAGAACCTCATGAACATGCATACTTGTTCAATCGAACATGTCATTCATGAAACGACCAGTTCTAGTGCCCTGACCATTGCTAATTCATCTAACTAGAAGCACTGTACATGTACTCGAGGCATCGTTTACGGTGAGTGTCACCAGAGTGAGATTGTCTCAAAGCATTCAACTCTTGGATTGGCAGCGGCACCATGGTTGCGACGCCATACTCAACTCTAAGACGACTGATGAATCAGGCGGGATAATTTGACTACCACTGACCCAATAAAATCACTCCTATCTCCTATCCAATCTATGCAACAAATATTATGGATCACGTTGGTCCAAATGAGCTGAACCAGTGGTTACCCTGAGGCTACAGTCCTGCTCCATGTCAAACACAGGATCTCTTTCAAACAAAAGGCTTTTATACTTAGGCCCACATTAAAACGTGGAAAAGAACCAGTATCACAATGCTCGAATCGAAAACTCACTGTAGTGCCTTACAACACACATTGCTACAGTACAGAGAGCCTGCAGCTTTTGTCTAAAGCCATCGAGCATCTGAAGCAAAGAACTGGTCCAAATCAAACAATAATGCCTCATTGTACAAAACAGCCCCTCGTGCCTGACTCACTCTTGATCAATATGCCCCAAAGAAGCACAAACATGATCTCTACAACCTGTTCCACCTCCCTGCATTGTGGTTCGCCAGCAGTCTTGCGCATGTTCATCTCCTGCGCGTCATCTCCTCCAAGATCTGGAAGGATCCTGACCACTGCAAACTCTGACCTTGGTGCCATTTTCAACCGTCTGTTGCAATGACGAACATGCAGTACTAGGAGATCCATGACAAAGCAGGACCTCTTCACCCAGACTTACGTGACTCTACGTAGTGAGGCTGCCTACGCTTGATCCATTGGCTCTTGGATCTTGACCTCCAAGAAAGGCTTGAACTCAGTTTAATCCTCTCTTGGAGGTCAAGATGAGGTTCACTTCTGCCAGAAAACCTTGAGCCTGTAGAACTGCTGTGTGGCTGATCTCATCGATCTGGACCTGAAGCTAATCCGTGGAGACAAATGGAGCCCAGGAAAAGCACAGGTTTACATGTGCATGTTTTGTACGGTTTGTGTTCACTGCCACTGCTTCGTTGATTCTTGCAATTGTCTTGTCTGCAATTTGTTTGGTGTATGCCAGCCGGCTTACTGGCTTAGACTCCGTAATTAGGCGCATTTTGACAAAGATTCACACGGTGAGGACAGGCTGCCATGCCTGCAGTGGCGGCAGTGCGCTGAAGAGCTGCAAAGCACGTGGCCACAAGGTGTGGTCCCTGCAGGGTGGAATTGCCAATTCCGAGGCCACAGGGATGTGGCCTCCTGTACCTTAAAAAATGTTAGTGAGCCGTCTGCCGTCTTCGTCTTCCTTATAATTGCCAAATGATCTCCAAGTCCTCAAGTCCTGGAGGGGCCCATCCATCCATATCAGGGATTCACCCACTCGTGAATCCTGGTCCACAACTCTTCCTTTCACTTCAGTGTCTTCAGTGTGGGTCAACCTCCTTGTACAGGTGAAGAAACGATCGTAAGGCTGGGATGTAAAGAAGCCTACCCTTTGACCCCAAGAGGCTTCTCGCCCGACCCCCCCCGGTCACCTTGCCAAGAAGGTGAGCAAGACATTGGCAGCTGCGGTGGGAAGAGCACAGCTCGAGGCCACCTATGGACCAAGATGACACGGCAGAGCTAGAAAAGAACCTGTCTAAGCCTCAAATCATTCCTTTTTTAAATTAAGTGAGTTCGCGATGAAGAAATTGTATGCATTAAGATTATATATCATGTTTGAGTATAACACTGAATATAACATATGACACTGACACCTAATCAAGTTATTTCGTTGTATATCGATATATTACTTCTAGATCCTCAATTATGACAGCTGCTGCTACTTGCTACTTTGCTGGAAAGGGGTGTTCTGCTACTGATTGCTGGGAGCGTCGCTCTCCTGGTAAGCCAAAGATTTAACAAGAGAAGTTGAAGCTTGTTGCCCAGGAATGTTTTCCCTATATACATGTTCCTGATTCTATGCAGCCACTCAAAGCGATTCTTCATTGAATTCAACTCAATGCGAAATGTGACACCATTCTGTTGATAAAAACAAGATCAAACTAGTCTTCCAAAAGGTCTATCTAGTTTGGTTTATCAATAACTTTCGTAGGTCTTAGGTCGAATTCATCCGAGATTGATCGTGAAACCGTCCCCTGCCTCCCACTGAGAACTCTCGCAGCAGGCGCCCACTAGGGTGCTGTAGCTGTACGCATCGATTTCTGAGGACCAAAAGATCTGGAGGGCCAACTGCCACAAGCCAGCGGCCTCAAGCCATGGCATGGTGCATTTCTGGCTGAAGCATCAAGGTGACTGTCTTTGACTGGATACAATGATCTATAGAACATGCTTTTTCTCCCTTCAAGATAGCGATGTTTGAACACCATAATGCTTTACCAAACTACGATAAACTACGTATTTTATCATTCCAGTTTCAGCCTCTTATTGCGTATCATGTCCCAGTGAAATCTCTTCTTAGTCCTAAATTCTGAAAATCCCACCACCACACCACCACACTGTAACCCCCCTTGTTGTCTGGATCAGCTCACATCATCCTCTGGTGCTCATTCACCACACCTTGCAGGCAGCCAAGGCCAAATTCACGGCAAGAGGGCGTTGCCCCAAGCTCCTGGTGGTGTTGGTTTCAGGGCTGTCAGGAACAGGTCGGAATGGAAGACAAATAACACACCACTACAATAGACAACACGTTGGCTGTGGATCAACTCTGCTGTTGGTGATCTAAACGATTGTTCTGTTGGTGGGGTACGAGTACCTGGACAATTATTCGGCACTGAATGGCCAAGGGTCCTGGATAAGCACTTGCTTGCAAAATGACATACAATGATCAGGTTGCCATGTAATAATTGCATGGAAATCATGGAAGCAACATGTCACTCGACTATCTCTACTTGTCACTCCATGGCACTTCAAATCATTCAATGATCCTCCAACCTAAGAGCGATGGCCTCCAACCTACTAGCGATACTGTATACTTCGTGACCTGTGTGTGTGTGTGTCATTGTGTTCATGATCCATCATGATCCCGTGCGATTCAAGTGCCGGAGATGGATCCAGCGATTCAGTCATGCCGAAATCGGAACGTGGTAGCAAACTGACAAATTGAAGAAAAATCCAAGTTCACTGCCATAAACTCAAAACAAAGGCTTACGAGAAAAACAATCTTGATGACCGGCAGGCGACTCTTCTGGTCAACATATATTATAACCCAAGTGATCGTGCGAGTGGCAAACCTTTAAAACTCTTAGGCTGTTAATCACAAACAAGCTGGAGAAACCAAAACAAAGACTTAAAATTCATTCATCTACGTCTATATGCAATGTTTTTTGGATTTGGTTTCTCGCATCACTAGCAAACCCATCGGCCTCATCTAGCTACCTCTCATCCAGGAAGGTCCCCACGACCCGTCGATACCCTTCCTGAAGATGTCCAAAACGCGGCTCCAAGCGCTCTGGTGATGCCAAGCTTTCATCGCTCCAAGCCGAACCTCCTGCTACGTTGAACGTCCGAACGCACCCGGCCGTTTTTGAGGCGAGCCGAAGGCGCACCACTTCATGCCTTTAAAGGAGCCGAGGTGTAGAAGTGGGATGGTTTGTAGTGGGATGCTGTCAAGGCTAAAGGAGAGCATGGTTGCAAGAGGCTGGGTATGTGAGAAGCTTTAAGAGGGGCCTAGCTTGCAGTATGTGCATGGTGCTTCCCTGTTTCAGTCGGCCAAAAAAAATGGAAAGAAAAGCACAAATTCAGTCCTCATCTAGTGAAAATGGATGACCTGAATGAAGGGTTGGAACAAAGACAAAGGGAGCATTGGGGAAGTGCTCCATCAGCACAAGTACTGAGGAACCCGGTACCAGGCTGAAGGGATTGACATGAGATTGTGACGCAAATCCTATGATCGATTCCATACAAGATATACAAGGCATTCCCAAGGCAAAAATATCGTACAAATATCAGCAGCTGTTGCACAGGTCTGGGATTCGAACAGATTCCATGTTTCGGGACTTAACGTATTGAGGATTCCATGTTCTCTCTCTTGGATAGAGCAACTATCCTGTGTAGCGCCAACTGACAAAGGGATCAACAGCGTGTTGCTACCTCTAGGGTCAACGATATGAACATGCCCAAGGCTGCGCTGCATGCCCCAATGATCTTCTGGTGCATTGATCACTCTAGTAACAAGAAGCTATTAGAAACAAGAGCATCGCTACTAGTAACAAGTGCCATACTAGTAGTAACAAGAAGCTATTAGAAACAAGTGCATCGCTACTAGTAA